ATCCTGGCGGGTGAGGAGCGGTGCGGGCGGGCGCGCGGGGAGAGCGGGAGGAAGGGTGGGGCTTGGCTTTGCGTTCCCCCTCCCGCCCGCAATGCGCACAGCGCTGGGGAGGGAGGGCTGTCATCTCCCATCCCTGCGGAGTGGGGTGCATTGCACATGTGGGGTGTTGGTGCACGGGCTCCTGGGTGTGGCAGGTGCACACACGTGTGCACCAGGGCTGGAGGGGGTGTGAGCGAGGGAGGGCGTTGGCCTCCCCTCCTCTGCCCCACCCCACGCCAGCCCCCCGAAGCAAAAGCCCCGGCTCTCCTCTCGGGGCTGCTTGAGTCCCACGCCAGGATCCGAAGAAGGGCGCCGTTGTCCACGGATTCGCCCCGTGTACAAGTGCTTGCTGGTGCCACGTGCCACGTTACCGCCGGGATTCGGGAGCGGGCGCCCCCGTTTTGTAGACGATTTCATGGACGGCAGCAAAGCGAGCTCTCCCAAACTCCTGCGTGGACGTGCCTACTGCACGAGGGCTTTTAATTTTTGGAGGGGAAGGGGCGCCAGAATCGGACGTCCTTTCCCCACCAAACTATAATGGACTCGGGAAGGGGCAGAGCAGAGTTGAAATGGCTTAGGCAATCGTTAAGCCTCCTGGACCAGGGTGTATACGTGGGAGGTCACCAGGACCTGCAACACATGCCTCGGCAGGAGTGTGGAGGCTGCCTAGATCTCCCACCCCCTTTATTGAGACAGCGTCCAAAGGCCAGGCTGAGTCCAGAGCAGGGGTGGGCAATTATTTCAGGCGGAGGGCCGCGTACTGAGTTTTGGCAAGCCATCGAGGGCCGCGTGACAGGCAGCCAGGGGCAGATAAATATTAATTTTCTAAACTTTTTAGGGGCTCTGCAGGACAGATAGGATGGGCTGGTAGGCCACATCTGGCCCACAGGCTGCATTTTGCCCACCCCTGGTCCAGAGCCTCCATGGCTGTAGCGACATGCGTCTCTGGGAATTGAACCCAGGTCTCCTGCAGGGTAAACAAGGCTCCTACCACTGAACCACAACAGGAGGCCCAAGTTAACATGGAAACTTGGCTTAAAAAGATTTTCTCAAATGGGCATGTGCTCAGCAGTAAGGGCTGGGGCCTGGTCCTGCAAAAGCTGAGGTCCATGGCAATCCTGCCTTGAACTGCTGCAAGAAAAAAATCAAGCGGCATGGAGGTCTTGAGAAGGATTTTTGCCTGCCAGTGAGGACTGTCAGGCACAACATATAACCTGGCTCGTGAACAAAGCGTGGCCCCAGCAGCTGGGGCAGCACAGCGATCGCCCGCAGGCGGTGACAACGGCAGGGGCGTGACGGTGGTGTGTCCTTGCAGGCAGCCACGGTGGTGTTGGTGGCCGGGGGTGGCGAGCGCTGACCAGTGGGCAAGAGTTTAGTTCAGCAGTAATTCCCCAGTGTCAGCCTGGATCTGATCTTTTTGTCTTGGCTGCTTGTTTTGTGAGTTATTGGGCAAAGCTAATGGTTTTTGTGCTTTCCTTCTAACTTGGAAGTGCTTTTAGTGTCGCTGGGCTTACTGCATCGTTCCCAAGCTTGTTAGCAAGATTCTTTGCAACGCAGTCTTGGCGGAGTGAGAGACAGTAGGATAGGGTACGAGGCTTGTCTGAGTTCAGTTTTTGTTTCCTTAAGCTAAGAACATAATGCTTCTCCCTCTGTTTTTTGTGCAGGTGGCATTGCTGGAGGGATTGAAATCTGCATCACTTTCCCCACCGAATATGTAAAAACTCAGCTACAACTGGATGAAAAAGCAAACCCCCCTCGGTACAGAAGTATTGGTAAGATGCAAACTTCCACTGGTTTTGCATGTAAAATCTCAAACAGAGCTTCTAGTAAACTATTTAAGCAGCATTCTCAGCACCTTGATCATTCATTTAAAAGGTAAAAGCTGCTTATTCTTACTAAGGCCTGGAAATTGTCTTCCAGGTCACTGTGTGAAGCTAACTGTGCAAGATCATGGTGTCAGGGGTCTGTACAGGGGCCTCAGCTCTCTGCTATATGGCTCTATTCCAAAATCTGCTGTCAGGTAAAGTGATGGATACTTTATTATTTGTAAGTATTGTAAAGATATCAGATTTGTGGAAGGACCTCCTATGATAAGAGGATGAAACCTATTTTATACAGAATTTATCTACCAGTCTCAAAGTGCTGAATGAGACTAGTTTTGTAGAGAGGGATTTTCATTTCCTTAAGTGCTGTGAAGCACTCAGTGCAATTCTCTCTCAAGTCCCACTGGATTTGTATTGGCTTTGAGATAATGACTTTGGTGCCTTGCGTTCTGAAAGATGATGATTAATGCTGGAACTGGTAGATGTGTAGTTTGGATGGATGTCCAAAAAACCCCTTCTTCAATATCACTTAGATGCACTAGACCTGAAATCCAAGAGTTAAAAGAAATATATCAGCTCCCTGATTGTAATAGCTGTTGCTCATAAGAATAAGATGCTACTTATGCTTAAGAGAAGAGGCGAATATCCATTTTTGCCCTGTGTTACTGACTGCTTGCTGCACCTCATAAATGGGATGAGAAGCTGGGTTACCGATTTTAAATCTCCCTAACTAGGGGGTGGAAAATACAGCCTGAATATTTCTGACCTTGTCAGTCTGCCTCATCTTTATTTGAGGAAATCTGTGGTGGAGAAAATGAAACTTGTCTGTTCTCTGCAGGTTTGGGGTGTTCGAGGTACTCAGCAATTATGCAAAGGATTCAAGTGGGAAACTGGACAGTAAACGGAGCTTAATTTGTGGCTTGGGAGCTGGTGTAGCAGAAGCTGTTGCAATTGTCTGTCCAATGGAAACAATAAAGGTAGGCAAACTGTTAATCCACAGGTGCTAGAAGATCATCTACACTATTCTTAAGGTTTGGAATCTACTACTTGGTGCGCGCGTCTATGTGAGAGATTTACTGCAAAGCTGTCTAGCTAGCTGTGTAGTAAATGTCTCGGCATCTATGCGGGAACCCTGTTAGGTTGCAGGAAACTAATAAACCCACAGCAGGTTAGTACTTATAAATGGAAGTAATATCCTGCTGCAGAGTTTTGTGCGCAGCAACACACATGTAGACCCTGACCCAGCTGGCTGGGGCATGAGGGTGTTTCAATGCAGGGGCTGCCTGTCTGCTGGCTAGCCCTGCACGGGTGCACCCTCGTGCCTCAGTTAGCCCCTCTGCAGCCTGTTGAGCTGGGTTGGAGCAGCCCCGAGTGGCAGGCTGGCCCCCTGGACCATCTACAAGCTAGGGCTGCTCCAACCCAGCTCAACATGCTGCAGTCCCAGGCACATGTGCAAAAGGCACACCTAGAAGCAATAAACTCCAGCACCATATACACCGGAGCTTATTGCTCCGTGCTGATAGCCTCTGTTAACTAAATAAGATTGGTTCTTTAGCATATTTTGAAATGTTTAATTTTTACCTTGTGCTATTTGAACCTGCATCAGCCAACTCAATGTAAGCTACACTTACGCCTTAACATAAGTGTGGAATGGTGCAGAGTTCTGAAATGCTTTTAGTAGTGGAAGGGATTTTATTTTAAATGATGAGCTAAAGGATAATAATCATAGCATAACTTTTTAAAGTTCATTTTAGTTTTGTGTTTTGGTTTTTTTTTTTTTAATTCTCACAGGTAAAGTTCATTCATGACCAATCCTCTCTCAACCCAAAGTACAGAGGGTTTTTCCATGGTGTCCATGAGATTATACGGGAACAAGGTATGACTCTAAGCATACAATTAAAACATGAAAAACTAGTTTTATTCTATTTTGAACCTAATGACATCAGTTAAACGTGTCAGTTTTGAACAAACGGTCACCTGTGAAATACCAATTTTTATTAGGAGATTGGCTGGTGCCTTCTGGCCATTTGATTGTTTTAATCGGCCTTTAATGATGTGCAAAAATAAATATCTCATCTGTTGTAGGCTTGCGTGGAACATACCAGGGGCTGACAGCTACTGTCCTCAAGCAAGGCTCAAACCAGGCAATCCGGTTTTTTGTGATGACTTCCTTCCGCAACTGGTATCTAGGTAAGACCTAACTGGGATCAGGATAGCAATTTCTCTTCTGAGAAACGGGTGATTGCTTAGCAGTATCACTTTTTAAATTTCCTTACAGGCAGAGCTATGCAGGCTAGATCAATACTTCCTAGTGTTTTTGTTGATCACTTAACTAACTGTAGGCATACATACTTAAAATTTAGAGCTTGTTTCTAAAAGTACTAGCATATATAGGAACACCCTGTCTAATTATTTCTCTCTCTTGCTTTGACAGGTGATAATACTCACCGAGAGATGAACCCATTCATTACAGCTGCATTTGGTGCTGTCGCAGGTGCAGCCAGTGTTTTCGGTAACACTCCATTAGATGTCATCAAAACCAGGATGCAGGTAGAGATTGCTTAAGAGCCAGTACTGCGATGCCTTGCTTCTCAGAAATCAGGATGCTTCCTCCAGCAGCTCTCATGCTGTCTTCTTTAATGAAGCAGGGATCTCATGGGATGGCCTGTTCCCATGCAACCCTGACACTTCATCTGTACTGCTGTGAATTATGATTCAGTAGTTTTATTTCCATTACCGTATAGTGCTGTAAGCTCTAGTTGTAGACCACATCCCCTGTGCTCGGTGCAGTACAAAAACTGAACAAAGAGCTTACATTTTTGCCTTATGATTTTAGTACAATGCCATAAATGCTCAACTGTTTTTTGGTTTTCTTCCCCACCATGCCCTGTCCTCTCTTTCAGGGTCTGGAAGCCCACAAGTATAAAAGTACCTTGGACTGTGCCTACCAGATCCTCAAAAACGAAGGCCCATTGGCGTAAGTGGAATTCAACTCTAGTCTCTATATTGGGGCGGGCAATTATCTTGGGCGGAGGGCCGCTTACTGAGTTTTGGCAAGCCATCGAGGGCTGCATGACAGGCAGCCGGGGACAGATAAATATTAATTTTCTAAATTTTTTAGGGGCCCCACAGGCCAGATAGAAGGCCTGGCGGGTTGCATCTGGCCCACGGGCTGCATTTTGCCCACCCCTGCTCTATATACATGAGATCCTACAATGTTCCACACTTTTGATGGTTAATACTTAGTTTGGTTCAGCATCTGCTTGTTTACTAGGTTGGCATTTATTGACATTTTCCCCAATTTGTTGTGCTGGCATCTCCTCAGCATAGACACAGCCTCTGCCCTGAAAAGAGCAGTTGAGAACTGCCTCTCCTTGCCCAACCGCACTTGCAAACATGTCTGTGTAACTTGCACAGTTACCAGAGAGGAAAAGAGAAGTATATTGCATAATTAAAGGTCTTCTGGGTGGTTGTGGTGGCTTTTGTTTTTTTGCTTTTTTTTTTTCAAGTTGGGGGGATTTTTTTTTCCCCCGGCATACTTCTGAAGCAATTCCATCCACATGATGAGAACTAGTTGTCCTGCATCTGTAGGCAAATTGGACTGGGGAATTTAAGTCTTTTACTTCTTATAGCTTAAACCCTGCTATACTTTCGTTGTTTTTATTTACTCATTTAGCAACCCTTAACCCGCTAGCATACTTAAGCTCAACTTGCTTTTCAAATATACTAGGAGCTGATTTATAACCGAATACAAGTTGTTAAAACTTTCTAAACTGCTTTCATTCCAAAAATTGCGAGGGGAGGAACGGCTTCTACTTATTTGTAACTCTTCTGCTGACAGATTTTACAAAGGGACGGTTCCTCGTCTTGGCAGAGTGTGTTTGGATGTGGCGATCGTGTTCGTGATTTATGAAGAAGTTGTCAAAGTTCTTAACAGAGTCTGGAAAACTGCCTGATGCTTTTCTGGCTTTGTCTGAAGGGGACACTTGGACTGGCTGGTTAGCCAGGTCCAGAGATCTGAAAGGAATTTATTGCCAACTGTTTATTGTCAAAAGGTTTGTGAAAATGCAGAAACTCTCACTTTGAACTCATTCTTTTAAAGCAAATAAGCAGGAGCATCTAACATGGCTGCTCTGCTGGTACTGTGCTTCGGAGCTGATAAGCTTGAGCTCATCTAGAGAAGGCTCCTAGTGCATTATGACTAATGACATGTATGCCTGGTCCTAATGAAGCTGAGATGACACGGAAAAACTCCTCTTCAAGTGAAAGCACTGGGCTGGATGCTGCTGTTTGCACCAATGCATCGCTGGAGTAACTTTGACTTTTCCACTCCAATGAGGCTCTGTGTAGGCTGGAGCTATTTTAATTTTAAGTACAGATGTCTTGTGTGGCTTCTAGTTCAAATGGTGTGAACCCCCTGTTTAGACCCTAAAGTAACTTTTAAACCTGGTGTTATAAATCATTTCACAAGCTAAACCATTTAAGTCTGCTTTAAATTTAATTAAGGCTATCCAGGGGTTTTCAGTGGTGTCAGGGAAGATTTAAATAAACCAGCTGAGGGGAGGGGTAAGGCCTGAGTGACTTCATTAGATGACTCCGTGGATTTACAAGAGCGTTACTGAGAAATTGCCATGCGGATTATTTTCAAGATTATGTACACAGTGTCAAAGTGGGACAAAGGAGCACACTTTTTTTTTTCCATGCTAGTTGATGGTGGTATGCAGCATAAATACAACTATATGTAAATAGTGTAATTTCTTATTTGTTAATACTTATGAGTTCACTCTCTAGACTAGGAGGAAGGTGCCTATTGAGTCCCTGCTGTGAAGAGAAGACTGGATCAGAGCTATGACACCAGTAGCAATACTTGAAAAGGAAGTTTTTCTGGGAGTGCTAGGGACTGGCTCATTAGTAAGTAAGGATACAGTGTCATGGCATTTACTTAGGAAAGCTTGTGTGGAATTAGTATGGTTTTACTTGAGTAAGAACTATGTATCCAGCTCTGTCCTGAATTGGGAAGGTAAAGGTGTCCAAAGCTGCTACAGTGCTTGCCCCTTCATGTGCATTCCAGTGAGCAAGGCTGCACTTAACAGAGAACTAACCCCTTCATCTGAAAGCAACTGCTTCCAGCTCCTCAAAGATATATCGCTGAGTCCTGCTCTCCCGTTTTATGAAGCAGAGACCTCCAAGGGCAGTTTCTTCCCCCTGATGTAGTTCATACTCTTCAGGAACAGATCAGCATGACTTAAGGTCATGCCTTTTCAGTAATCCTGACAAAGAGAATGAAGGATGGGATGCTGGTCGTCCCCTTTAAGAGGGTATATGTCTCGGACCATACACTTGATCTTCACATGTGGTCCCAGATGATCTTTTCGGCATGATGTTAATCATGAAGGCAGTTGGGGATTTTGAGAACAATATTAACTTTTTTGTGCATGTCATGGGTGGATAGGAGAGGGAGAAGTGCTTCTCTAATGGGTGTAAATACAAAATAAATGCACTGGAGATTAGTATGAATGCAGTCAAAGAGAGCTCAGGCCAGCGTTCACTGTGCTGCACTTGAGAGAGGAGTTTGGGAGGGGCAGAAGTGAAAGGATCGTGGACTTGACTGATTTAACTACAGCAAGAAAGTCTCATTGAACTTGATGGAAAGCCTTCTACCAGCTATAAAAGTGTAGTGGAGTCTTTAATATGTGCCCTGAAGTTGAGGAAAGTAGATAATGTTTATATTGACAATAGCTTCTTGCCTCTCTCATCACTTTACTGGAGCACATGGTGGGACTAAAAGCAGGATTTGGCTCATGTTCAACCATGGGGAAGATGGGTGAATCTTGGTTCAAAGCCTTATTTCCTCTTGACCTTGACTTGTTTCTAGCCTAAGACCATAAGTCTCCTCTCGAGTTGAGAGCCAACTTTGACTTTTTTTTTAAATGTCGCTTTTAACTGGCTATCGGTGAATATTGTACTTGGCTCATCTACAGCGTTACTGCAACTGAATGTAACAGGTACTGGTTCATAGCTGCCGTCACATGGCTCCTTTCCATAGCCACTGTTATCTTGACTGGGCAGGGTTGCTATAGCCAGTTGAATAGTTGCCCTGTTCATTATGCCTGCATTTGCTACCTTGATAAATGAATCCTCACCAGGCATTGTAGTCTGTGAAGTTTCTACACTGAACAAAACTGCTTCCATCAAAACCACTTGCATAGCTGCCAAAGTTCCTTAAGCCACAGTGATCCAGCTGTCTTAATTAACACCTCCAAGGGGCCACCAGGTCAACGCTCTTGTTGAAACCCAAGAGCAGTCTGCCAACTCTTCCTTCAACTTCAGGCTGCCAGTGATAGCTCTGCTAACCTCTGCAATGCTGGTACAAATAACCAGCGTCAGGCTTTTGTGGAGATCGGAAGTCCTCTTTGCTAAAGCCTGATCACTGCTTGCATACTGTATTTATGTTTTAAAGAAAGCTGCTGTTCTACTGCTTGTGCCTTTTTTCTGGCTAATATCTCAACGTTACTGCTAGCTAATATTTCAGTTAATAATCTAGTTAATACTTCAAATTCATTTTTTTTTCACTGCTAAATAATTTGTTTACAAGTTCACACTTTTTTTTTTTAGCTCAAAAAAAATTAAATAAATTTAAGATGAAACAAAGCTGCCTACAGCTCTGTATTCATGAATGTAGTGAAGGAAGACCAAGAAAACAAAACCGCAAGTCCTTTTGGAAAGGGATAACTCTTCAGGTGAGTAAATTGGACCAAATCTTCCCATACACCTGCACAATCCTATAAGCGAATGTGTGCAAATGAATTTGCAGAGCTGAATCGGGAGCTGAGCATGCTGCACAGTCATCCATCCTGTTGAGTAGTTTCCAGCCGTTAGAGGTCAGTGTTCTACTGTCACAGCTCAGAAAAAGGTATGGTCGCGAACTATCCATTCTGGGTACGCTGAATCATGGGAAGGAAGGGCTTTAACTTACACACTACAAGCAAATGAAACTTATTTATCTTGACCCTGAGGAGTGATCACAATATAGCCAGCAAAAGACTCAGCCTTCACACCTTACTCCCAAAAGCCAAGGTCTGTGAGGTTGGATACTGAACTAGCTGCAGTACAATCCAAAATGGAAAAGCTAATAGTTTTGAGTGTTTCAAAAAGAAATGCAGAATGAACTGCCCCATCCTATAAAAGTAGAATCAAATTGCCCCTAAACAACCTGCTTGTTCTTTGCAAAAGTGATGTAATGTCTCAGATGGTTGATTCAACATAGAGTGTCCTGGACCTTTTAAAAGGACACTTGAATGCTTTATTTCAGAATGACAGCCTGCTATTTAATCAAGCTTACATTATTATTAAGCCTGATTTAAATAGCAGGCTTAATAATAATGTAATATTAATGACCTCTATAATTAAATGTCCTTTTCTACCACCCCATACCTTCAAAGTAGGTGTTTCTGGAGCTGGAACCAAAGAAATCTATTGGACAGAGCAACTTAAATGCTTCAGATTCAGTACAAAAACATATTCAAGTAGTGCATGTCTTGTTTTACATCAGATCTGCTTAGCAATTTTTGGCTCCCTAATCAAAAGGAGTTAAAGCTGCCAGTAACATTTCCTTTTAGAGCTGGTTTGAAATTTTCCAACTTTTTTTTGATCCCTGCGGAAATTTTGCGAAAAGGAACATTACGTGAAAAGGAGTCTCTCAAAGCACTGTACACCGAAGGTCAGTAGCGTTAAGCCAGTTTTACGGATGGGGAAACAGATGCAGACATGAAGCAGTTTACTTCTGGTCACCAAATGGCATACGTAGGCAGGAAAAGAATCAAGGTCTCCTGAGTTTGTATGCCTATTTACAAGTAGCACGCTAAGGGATATCATGTAATCAAATGGGCAGTAAATCATTTTCCCTGTGCTCCTTAGATCCTTTTTACGGTTGATAACAAAAGCATGGGGATAAAACCCAACAGCACATCCAGAGCTACTACAGAACCAGGTTCCACTTCCTCAGCATATTGAATCATACGGGGAGTTTCACTTTGGCTGTTGATCAGTGAGGCCACAAAAATGACAGCTGACTGATTTTTGCCTTGTGTGTGGCACATTGTTTCCCTTCACATTTAATGCATCTCCCTATCCTTCTTTTTCTAAATGAAAACAAATGTTGACATAACAGTTGCCATCCTTTACAAACACCGTTGTATATAAAGTGCATGCCTGAATTCCTGTAGGCAGCAGCGGTCCTTCAAAGTAAAGGATGATGTCCATCAGGCTCGATGGGTCCCCAGGTGACTGAGGAGCCCGATTCTGGATGCACACGTTCTTCAGCAAGCGGAGCATGTTGTTGCATGGGGGACTGGGATTCGCAGCCCTGGTTTTTGTGTTAGGCCTCTTAATGATATTTGGTAAATTATGTGCCCTTACATAGTTTATGTATTGAAAGGATGTAGATGTATGGTTATGTTAAGGCCTTGACCAAACTTCTCAACAGCCATTGAGGCAGGAGCAAATAACTAATAACTAAATAACTAATAAACTTCTGAACTTTCTTAGTGGGAAACACCTCCAGTAAATTACCCAAGGAAGGATGGATTTGGTAGCTGTGTTCATTCATCTGAGACAAAAAGAAATGCAAAACTCTAGAAGTCTTGGTTCAGAGAGGATACCTTTTATTAGTCCAACTAAGAAATCACAAAAAAAGGATAATTTTTTTGCTATTTCTTAGCTGGGCTGATAAAAGGTATCATCTCTGAACCAAGACTTCTAGAGTTTTGCATTTTCAGGGACGGAAGCTAATTTATTGACTACTTCACACATTCCAGGTTAGGATGTTCCAGTTAATAGTAAGAGCAAAGATAAGACCACTCCTTTCTTATATGTTCCCAGAGTGTTAAATCTTCTCTAATTAACACAGACTAAGACACCTGGTTGGACTGGTTTTCAGCAACTCCTTGAAATGAAGGAGTTTCCCAAATTTTTCTAGCCTAAATACAATCTTCATACATGCTAGAGTCTCAGATGATCACACAAAAAATAAATGAAGCTGTCCTTACTGTACTCTGACTGCAGAGAGAGAGCAGAAAGAAAGCTTACATCCTGTATCCTTACACTCCTTTTCTTCGGTCGAAATGCTAAATTATTAGTTCTGCACTGTTAAAGTCCATTTGGGTTGTTTCACCGGTCTCCCAGGCATTTAATGCACCATTTGACAAAGGAGTGAACACAGCAGGGTGTCAACTGGTTAACTGGCCAGTAATCAATTGATTCCTTCCTTGAAGCAGGTCATCTGTCTTTCTAATCTGTTTTACATTCAAACCCCTGGCAGCTGGAATGACAGCGTGCTGGAAACCATAAGCCAGCCCCTTTTCAACATTCCTGAGTGTACACCACCAGTGTGGGTTTTAACATCTTGCACTTAGGTTAGTAGTCTGCTTCCTGAAGCAGAAGGGCTCTTTTAACATGTTTGTGAATGATGGAAGACAGCTGGAGCCTGTAAAGCTCACATCTTCATCATTATGAAAAAGCTCCAAAATTTAGCTTCTTCTCAACCAAGCTTGAGAAAAAGGTGCAATGGCAGTAACCTGAAGTCATTCCAATAAGCTGCCAACAACTTTGCTGCCCGCAGTCACTTTTACGTTGACCCTCACTTACAGCCCTGATTTGGCAACAGACTTATAAGTCTACTTCCTTAGCAGTCCACTGAAATCGGTGGGGGTGGAAACATTTTCCTGAGATGAGAATGATTTTGGAGTGATGCAAAGTATATGAATATTGTTCCTACTGTAGTGACTGTGATGGAAGTTGGCTCAGTGTTACTCAAGGAAATAATAGTTACAGAACTGTGAGAGTCGAACCATAATCATATTGTTCTGGCGCTAGACAGATGGGTTTCCTTTCAGAGCGTTTCATCAAGAGGAAGGCCTTTGACCATCACAGAAACTGAGACTTCACCACGTAGAACCTAGTGGGGCAAGCAACAGCTGCAGAGTTATTTTTCAGTAAGACTTTGGCCATTCAAGACAAAATGTTAAGAACTGAAGACAACAAAACGTTATGGGATAACTATGTGAAAGCCTGCCAGACCTCCACCTACTTCTGATAAAGCTATGAGCTTAGCAGTAGCTGGGATCCTGGTCCAGTTGGATCTGATATTGCTCAGACGTGCATAAAGGCTTTAAAATGTGCTTTCAAACTGTTTCCATTGTGACGTTAGCAACTAGCTGTCTAGAGAATAGGATGCCCCCTCCGCCTCCCCTGGAGCTGTAAGCATACAGACTCGCTAATGGTGTTTCCTTATTCCTTTTCACTGTTAGAAAGGCAACAGCTCCAGCCTTGTATTCATGTGTGCAATAAATAGATGTCAGTAGAGCCGAGGCCTGTGCCACACTCGCACTCCAAACACCATTGAACTTGGCCAAGTTTGGAACCTGATCCACAATGTACCGTCCTGGCTGAAACCAACCCTTCCCAATCCTCATGCCCTTGGGTTCTTTTGTCTGCTGAAACGGGTACAGTACTTACAGAGATGAAAGGCAGCAAAGCATTTCACAACAGCTCTCTAACTAGGAAACCCCTGTGTATGTTTTCCACTTACAGAATTCCCTGTGAAATGGCAAGCGAAGCAGAGGTTGGCCACAGTTTTGATGCCTTTTCTTCCATCTGTTTTCTTTTGTTTCCACCCTGATAAGCTGTTTTGCTCTCCGCGTCAGAGAAAAATTGAGACCAGGTAAGTAAGAGCAGATCTTTGCAAATGAATAGTCATGGAATCACGCATTTACACCAGCATGCAAGCCAGCCCACCCTGATCGGACTTCAGCATTATCCTGCAGTGAGAAAATCAGGGCAAGTGCCTGATTATTGCAATGTGGTTGGCACCAGATGGCCTCAGCCCTGGGGATAGGCTTGAACATCTCTAATACATCTGCAAGTCCAGTACTGAGTGCTGGAACAGAACAGGGCAGACAGGAGAGTCTGCTGTTCTGCAGGACTGCGAATCTCTGTAATACAATAGACGCTGACCTAAACAAGTCAATGAGTTTTCCAAGCCCCATCCATCACGCTGACAGATTTGGAACCGCCTGAACCATCTCAGCTTGTTTAGTAGCTTTCGACAGCTCTGCGCCTGTTCACTCACCCGGGTTATGCGCTGGCTGCTCTGACATTTCCACGAAGACTGATCCTGCTCCCCTTGAAGTCAAAGTTTTATAATTGGCTTCAGCAGGTGTAGGACTATGGCCTAAGTTGCTAGAAGCTGGGATCATATGAATCATTGCTTTTACCAAGTGAGCTCAGGGGCTCCTTGCATCCCTGTAGTTCCCTAAATAAGGCCCTTGTATGCCGCTTTCCCATCTTCTTCTGTCTCAAAGATGTGGGTACACATGGCAGCGTCTGTGTACCCACACCTACTCTTCCCTCTGTGCCAGTGTCTGTAGCCTTGTATTCCCAGCATTATTATAGGACATTAAATGTCCTATAATAAAAGTCTCTTGGGGCAATGGGCAGAGGTGGGATTCGGACACTCAACTGCTTTCTGAGGAGATCTCAGTGCCAATCTTGGGGGCTAGGATTTCATTAGGTGCCAATGGTGCTTTGAGGATCCAACTCAAGACTGCAGGGTTTGAGCTGAAGTCTCAGTGGCTTGCGCTAATACCCTAAGCATTTGAGCAGCCTACTGTAGATGCAATGGACTGGGTAAGGGACATGATGCTGTTATGGAGAGCAGCTGTTTATCAATCCTAACTATTGCAGCCTAATAAATATTAGTCCTGTTACTTGTATTGCCAGAGAATCAAGCCCTGTCGTACTGATTGCTGAAGCCAGCAGGTAGCCTAGATTTACAGCCCTGAGTGAGATCACCATCAGACCAAGTGAGATTATTTTTCCTTTAAAGTCTAAATATATTTCAGGTTTAGAAAAGCTTCTTGGGAAGCCCCTTTCAGCTTTACCTTCCACTCAAAGAGAAGCACTGAGCCCAGAGGCTGTTTGGCATATGTTTTATTATAAATGGTCATTGATACAGAACCAAAATCATCTTTATAAATATCTGCAAGGCGCACGTAAACAGAGCAGGTAAAAACCATTCTTTAGCACGAGCAATTGGCTTGCCTGGCAATTTTATATTCTATGAGCCTGGTCTTAGGGAAGAGGAGGGGAACATGGGGACTAAAACGAAAAAAAAGTTCTTTTATGGTCAATGTGTTCCCTGCTGCTCTAGTGGGCAGGAACCAGAGCGTGAAATCGGATCTCTCTTTCACGAGTGTAAATCTGGAGTCACCCCATTTAGGTTAATGCCATTAATGCTGATTTCAGAACCTCTGCCCCCTTCCCACTGAGCGGTGCCTTGGCTGGCTACTGCAGCAGAGCGGCCAAGCACCGATGGCATCATGGAGACTGAGTTCCTCTCTCACATCTTAGCGCTACTCTCTCCTACGGCAGGATTGAGGCACACTGCTGGGCAGCTTTCTTCCCTTGCTGCCTGCATTGAATTGCAGTTGTTAACCTCCCCTTTACGTAAACACCCAGACATATGCATACAACGACCAACCCCACCTCCAAGCGCCTCCTTGACCACGAGTGAAACTGGGCTCTTCTGCACATGGTTCAACCCACCGCATGGGCAAATGGTTTTAAGTCTGATCCTCATTAACCCACAGCGGTGCAGCTTGTTACACTGTGATGGCCTCGATGGGGATCTGAATGCCAATAACGGCTAAGTGGCGGTGCCCCCCTTACACAAGAGGTTAGAGCCAACTAATGTGACAAGTACAGCGAGCAATTCCTTTAGCTTACATGGCAGGTGTGCGTATTGGTAACGCAGTTCGGATCCCCATAAGGGCCACTGTTGTGTAATGACCCCTCCCAGGGGATGGCATGTTGCACACGTATAATAGCATCAAACCAACGTGTTCGTTTTCCGGGAGGTGACGTGGCGCCAATGGTTTAATCCTACAACTTCACATTTACTAGAGCAGTGTTTCCCTTCCTTTATAACATTAGGGCTTAGTCTGCCTTCTGCTTGCTGTATGTTGTGCTGGAGAGAGAGGTAGAGAATGCAAATGCTGTCCTGTGGGTATTGCACTCTTGTGTTAGCAGAGAGCAACCATGTAGCACAAGCACCCTCACTCTGTGAAGCCGTGTCCCCCAGCTTGACTGTGACGAGAGTTACAACATAGCTTCCTTCCATCTTTTATCACCGGGGCACTTAAAACAACTAATTAGCACCAAAATGACAATTTCTGCTTTTTCTTCTACAGCATTGGCCCACTGCTGTGATCAACACTTTGGGGCCCTACTTGGCAGCAATTCAATCAGTGACACAGCTGAATGCAAGTGGAGGGATGGTAACAAGCTTAAGGACAAGAAATAATGGCAGTGTTGTATTCGCAAAAGGCCAGAGTCCTCTCAGGAGAGGGTTGGACTCAATCCTCCCAGCTGGAGAGGTGGCTGTGGTTTTATTCAAAGCGACGCAGGTGGTTGTACAGTGACTGCACATAGGTGAAAACACACATGGGATCTGGCTTCCGACCCATCACCATCATGTCGTCCACTTCTATCAGGCGGTCACAGTGAGCCAGTTTCCTGTAGTAAGAGCAAAACAGATCCGTCATATAAAAGATTATGGCCGCTGTCTGTACATATATTTCCAAGGTCCAATTGCTGCCTTGATTCAGCATCACCTTGGCTTGTTCCAACACAACGGGATCTCCTCTCAAAGAAATATCTATAACAGCACTGTAGGTAACACTGAAAAGGCCAAGTTCATGTCATGTTTGTAGGCTGCCATTTTCTGTGACTGGAAGAGCCTCCTGTTCCTCTTATCACCTCTCTCCACACTGAGGGATCAGACTCAAAGCTCAGTGGGATTTTTTCCATTGGGTTCTTAGGTTTTGGGATCAAGCCCCTGGTCTCTGCTGGACATGCCCCCACCTCTCAGCAAGCTACGTGCCTCAGCAAGCAGGGTTGTGCAGATTTGCAAACCCCTTCCCACTCTCAGGAGAAAGCAAGCCTGGGGTTGTTCTGGCAACTGCTTTGGATGCTGGCAAATGAGATAGGATCTTGCCAGGCATCCAGGAGGACTGGATGTTTCTTTTAGGTGTGAGTGGTACAGGCACCCTTCCTGGACAGTTATCAGGATCAAGTGCTGAAATCAGGCTCACATCCAAAGTCAAGTATAAGGGAGGCATTTGCTGAGGCAAGATGAAGATCTGTGGACCAACGCAGGCTGGGTAGGCAAAGGCATAACCAAGAGGACCCCGGTAAAAACCAGAAGAAAGAAAGAGAGGAATTTCCCCCGCACGTTGGAAGGCAGTAGCTTGGTCAGAGCCACCGACAGCCATAGAGATACTGACATTTCTACCAGCAGTTCTCATCTCATTCCAGATTATTACTGGTTGTCAGGATGTCTTCTGCTTTAGCTTACATTTATCTCCATACTTCATCTTTGATATGAGAACATCAGAATTGTCCTTGGCCAGCCAAAGGCAGGCTTAAATCAATGAATCAGCTAAGAACCAGGAGTCTTCCTCGGCTGATTGATAATTAGCAGCAGAAGTATGAAAGATATCTTCCCCCTTTCATTTTTAATGTTCTTCAACTGCACTTCCTTACAAAGAACAGTGGGTTTGCCTGACTGGTGAGCGGTCCAAAGCATTTTGCTTCATGGCAGATTGCAACTGATGATTGATGCCAGTACTATTGACATTTTGCACTGAAGAACTTGGGTCTAACTGGGCCCTACTTCAATGTGCAATGGTGTCTGAAACCACATCAGAAGTTGTAGAAGCCTGTAGCCATACACTCCTGCATCCTGTGATTATATGAAAAGAGCGTGCTGAACCTGACTAAATACCCATGCAGTGTTCTTATTGTTACCCAAGCTACACAGCGCAACAACAAAGTATGAGTCATGTTTCTGCTGGATCAAGAACCTTAAAATATCTTTTCTTCTGTATTTAAACAAAATAATCAAATAGATGAAATCCCAAGATCAGTGGAACTTTCACAATCTTTTCTCTGATGCCTGACGAAGGGTGTTTGTGCCCAAAAGCTTGCAATTGAAGACATTTTTTTGCACAAATCTTGTTGGTCTAATAAAAGATGTTACCTCTGTCCATGAGCCCTGACTGCAAGATCAGTGAACAAACTCTCAGACTGCTTTACATGAAAATGCCTGTAAAGTCCTCCAACTTGGATGATGCATGCTGCATAAACCTAAATATAACACTGATGCTCTAAACACCAGTAAATGTGTGGCAATCTGCAAAACAGGAGTTAATTAACTGTTTTAAACAGCTAAAATGAACTACTCTCCATAAACTGTAGCATTTTAGAGGGTCCCTAGAGGGTTGGCTTGACTGCTGTCCAGTTGCCATATAATCTGATCTATAAATGAATAGCAAGATTTGTTTTTGTAGCACAGCACCGAGTTTCCAACACTAGGTCTATTATGAAGCAACAATGAGATAGAGCAGAATAGGATTTTAATGAGAATATTACTATCACTCCATCTCTATTAAGCCACCTGCGCCTTCCTAAGCCTGGATTTGGTCTTGACAATGCTGATTAGGCCAAAGCTTTGTTCTTGATGTTTACTCTCAGGAAGGAAGAAGGGAAACATCACTTGACATTCCCATTGGTCTGGACAGAAGAAACATCTGCTGGGGACTGGAGGGGCCTGTCGGCTGACCTTTGCAGCTGGTTAAGACAATTCTGCCTTTAATAGACAGTGGATCTGTGCTCTGTGGCTGCTTACAGACATAAAAAAAACAAACCAAAACAAAACGAAAAAGTGCTCTACTTTAAACTCCGCGTGCCCCCGTACTTAGCCCAGAAGAGGCATCGCATTAGTTGGACCTAGCTTACCTGGTGTCTGTATAGATCTGGTGCTTCAGCGGGGCTTTTATGGTGCTTTTATCTAATAGCTGATTGAATATTTATAAAGATGATTTTGGTTCTATTTGACTGAATCAGCTATTAAATAAAAGTGCCAAAAAGCCCCACTAAGCGTGTGATCTATATAGATGCAGTGGAGCAGGGTCAAATTAATGTCCTGCTTCCTCTGGTAAAGCGCTTTTATTTTCCCCCCATGTCTGTCAGCATCCCATTTGAACAAGCATGAGTTCTTTGCTCTGTAGTCACTAGAGGCAGTGTTTTTTCCTTGATGCTATTTGGAGAATTAAATAAGACTGAAGCTGCTAATTCTCCAACTCCTGTTTTCCAGACATAGGGTCTGCCTACGCTGTGGGTATCTGCTCGAGTGGAGCTAGTCCAATACAAAATCACTTGTGCAGATGTGCTGCACTGCTGGGTTTGGTCTTCAGCAGCGTAGCTCAGTGTCAGACCTCGGTGAGCTGCTTCAGTACAACATATCTGTGCTGTGATTTACACCTAGAGAAGACTGGTGCAGAGATCCTGAGGACAAGCAGGCTCTTAGACAAGTACGGCTTTTAATTATAGTGCCATGGGCTGATGTTTTAATTGCTCGTATTCAATTGTCATGACAACAGTTTACAGGAATAACAACTTGCCTCCCTCTTAATAATTCCTTTCAAAGCAAGGTGAGTGTTGCTTTAGAAAACAATGGTATGACACTACAAACAGCAATAATGAAAACAACACGACCCTTAAGGATCTGGTCCTGCACTCCTTGGGTGCCAAAGAGTCAGGAGGAAAATCCAGAGCAGGTAAACAGAAAGTTACAGAAAAGGCAGGACACAGAATTCATGTGACATACATACAAGCAACATATCGGCACTAAATGCCTCTAATGACATTGGTGAAAGGGCTTACTATACACTACATGCAAACCAGAAATAAATGCCATCTGAAAGGACCGCTCAAGCACAGCCATTTGACTGATGCATGTTTTAAGTTCTTGTTTCTCCACTTATTTCTGTGTTTACTTCCCCAATAAACAGCATTAAACTTACCACTATTGTCTGTATATTCCCGTGACTGAAATGTTGCTTGCCATGATAAACTGTCCCTAAGTGGAGGAAAATGATCTGAGCACTCAACTGTCCCTGTAATAGGCATGCTTGTTCTATTGTGGGTAGTACCAAAAAGGCAATTCTCCTACCTGCCAAGGTACAGTGCAGTAAAGTAGACACATTCTGTGAGTTGGGTTGATTAGGGACTATGACATCATGACTATGTGGTTTTATTTTAGTTCTTGGTTCCACATCCTGAACTCTTCAACACCAGGGTAAAGAATCTTTGACCGTGTAAGTTAAAGACATAGGATCAGATTCTGAGCTGCCATCAATCAACCTCACATCATTCAAATCAATGGACGCAGGCCAATGTACTCCCAACGCACTGAAGTTTTGCCAGTTTACAATTTACAGGAACTAGTCAAGATTATTTTCAGGTAAGTAGTGCTCTTAACAATGGAGTCAAACCTTTTTTCTTTAAAATTCGGTTTGCTTGGCTCTTCTACTTTGCCTAAGTCCTTCAGGCAGCTGGATGTTGGGTTGTACAAAGTGCATCCATTTATTTCTCAGCTATGCTGAAATCCAACTGGTTAACAATTACTTGTGTCATACGGCCCACTCTGTTTACTTTGTCACAGTTACTAATGATCCATGCTAAGTACATTTCTGTTTTTTCCCCAAATCTCAATAAATAAAACGTGTAAGATTTAAGAGCTTTCCAGATGTTAGTTCTAAATCTGTGTAAATGCCCAACCTGTCAGCAACACATAGTAATAATATAATTTATTTGCAGGAGCTATTTATTTTATTTTCCCTTTAAAAAAAACACTCGGGGGAAATAACATCTCATTAGAAAATGGGTTTTGTTGACTCAGGCTACTGGATGAAACTCTGGAAAGCTACGACAAGCTAGAAGTCGGCAAATTAAGTCGCCTGAAAACATTCACGTAAATGTGATGAATCACCAGATTTAAGTCAGGTGCACCAGAAGTTTAACTGAACGCACATACGCTCTTGTGACAGTCTAATGACCTGATACTGTCTCCCACTGATGTCAGCGGGAGGACTGCCTTTGATTTCTATGGAATCCGAACCCAGCGATAATACATTCCAATGCAAAGTCTTTCACAAGTACTGTAGGGCTAAGCATTATGGGGGGAGGATTTTCAAAAGGGTTTAGGAGAACTAGTACCGTTTGAAAATTCCCCTTGTAAAATTGCTATGAGACGGGGTAAAAATACTGCGAGTAAAAATCCTCTGGGTAGCGAGGCAAATTGAGTACATAGGTTCAGGGGGAGAATTTGAATGTATGGATATGAGTAATGGGTGGATCTGAATGCATGAACCTGGGAGCAAACTAGGGCACAGAGCACTAGAGTTTGTTTGCAACCACTACTTAGGCACGTCTATACATGCATTAACATACTTTAGTTAATGCGCATTAAAACTAGTACCTCCATTGCAAGGTACTAGGAAAATGCACATTAACCTGTCTTAATGCACATTAGCCTATTTTAATAGGCATTAACTAAATAGCACCCTTTTAGTGATGCTTTAATGCGCATTAAAATAAGTGAATTAGTATTAAAGCACGTGTAGACACACCCACTTATATCTTACCAGACATCTGCTAAAAATGCATCTTACTTTTTATTTCTGAGCCTCCTGTTCTATTGCTCACATGCACAGCTTTATTACCACTTCCTGGCATCATAAATTTCACCTTGTAATGTATGGCACGAGGGAGAAATTATTAAACACTCTCACTGCACAACCCGGTGAGACTTAATGCTGGATGCACTTCACAGACATGTAATACGGTACTCACTCAGCCATGGTGAAAGCTAGCTCAAAGTTTTGCTTGCGATTAGCTGGGTCAAGCTCATTGTAATCGAAGGCTTCAGGAAAGAAAGAATGCACAAGGGCACAAAATGCCATTCCATCACTCCAGCTCGAGGAGAAGTTTTGCAGATCAACGTGCTGTCATAATGCAAATAGAGAGTTTTAGGACAAGGCAGAGACTTGGAACAGCAGCTGCCCACTCTTGCTGGACAGTATCTCATCCAATACCAGGACAGTATCTGGATGAGAAACATTGACCTCCCCAGCAATTCAAGTCTGATGCAGGTGCAAAGCACCTGGGTGGCCTAGGGGCCTGATGCAAAGTTTACAGAAGACAATGGAAAGATTTCCATCAGCTTCAACAGGCTTTGCATTGGCCCTAGGTCCTGAACCTGCATTCAGGTAACATGAGTGAATGACTTATCTTGCATCTCTAGCAACCATGAAGTAGTTGCTAACCAGATAGTGGCTGCAACACAGGAGTGTGCAAAGACTCAATACTTTACTCCCAGCTCAAATCAGCTCAAATCAGCTCTAACCCCCTGACTAGCACAACTGATTTCAATGGCAGTACATGGGTGCAAACAAGGGAAGGGATGGACTCCACTGGATGGCACAACATGAAAGTCAGCCCATTAGCACTAGCCAGCCCTTTGCAATTACAGTGAAGAGTCCAGAGTTCCTCTGGATTTGCACCAGTACAACAAGGCAGAATTGGGCTCTTTTGCTTCATAACACTCATTTTTTTTCCAATATAGAAAATCCAGTCCCTGGTCTTTCTGCTTAGAGCTAAAATAGATTTTAATAATATCTCTTAGACTGCCCCAACAACTTAATGTTTAGAGCTCAGGAATAACATGCTGTCTTTTGTTTTATTGCCTAATAAAACTGTTGAATGTGCACCATTTTGCGCTCACACATCTGGGAAAGCTGTTCTTTCCCCTGGGAATTACACTGAGCAATGCAGGCTGATGCCAGGCAATTTCAATGAAAACCCATAAGCCTAACTCTTCTCAGTTACACTCATACAGCCTCATAGGACATGAACATGTTGAAATTGGGGGAATTTAATCTCCACCATTTGCTGTATCCTAACATCTTTAATTCCAAAATAGAGCAACCCATTCTACCACATAACAAAATTATCTTAATCTCCATGTAACATTAACACAGAACAATCTCTATCCCTATTCAGATGTCATCCATACGTAAGGTACATGCACTCAAACCCTGTAATTAAGAGAAAATGCACTAATGCAGCGTGAAGACTATAAAGTGCTCCATCTAGCAGGGCACTTAAGCATTCACTTTTACTCTTATGTGAAAAGTCTCATTAACTTCAGTGGAATTGCTCATGTGCACTTACTTTTGCACATGCAGTATACATGTAGCTACACACATCAAACTGCATTTTCTTAGAGCCTTAAAGTCTTGTAATGAATATAAGCAATTGCTTGGAGTGTTTTAGATTGCTTCTCGATAACAGCAGAATGCAATTTTTTCAGTACAGCTCCTCTAAAAAATATTTGTGAGGAATTGGAAGGAAAAGCTCAGAAAGGGACAGGGTCTCCTCACCTTGTATCCTATGGTTTTTGAGCGACACCAATCCAAAAGAATTTGCTTAATGCTGCTTGCACTGGCAACTCCAAAACTCTGGGACCTCTTCAGCTTTGCTTTGGACTCTCCTTTCCCTCTGGAAAAAGAAAAGGGACAACAGACTGAAGTCTAGAAAAGGTTAAAAGCCTCCTGTCAGCTACATCCTTGCAGCAAAATACATCATAGGGGACACCAATACACTTTTCCAAGCCCACCACCCTGCCAGTGCAGTTTTTCCTCGCTAACCACGGTTTTGAGTATCCATGCTTAATATTCTATGTACCATTTTGGCTACCACAGTACAGTTTTGAGTAACCACGGTTTTCTGTGGCCGCGCATCAGCCCACCACGTGCCATTTGCCCCATAAGTCTTTTGTCTTGCCAACCACAGTTTTTTCAACCACGGGAACTTTCAGGAACCTAACCCCAGCGGCTGGCGAGGGAAACCTGTATGCCACTGGAGAAATGTAAAAAATGAAACCCCCATTTTATTG